ACATTTTCCACTTCTCATTTTTGTGGTGACTGAATGTAGGAGCGGAAAATAACTCATAATGCCTTCACAACAACTAGGTTGTATCACCAAATTATAGATGAAAAATGATAATAATCTCAGAAATGTATACCAGAGGTAATGCATAACAGATCTTTTTTTGATTAAAAAGATTCTTTAAAAAAATACTACGGTATATACTTGATATCTACAGTATGGTCTCAGTCTGAAACATGCTATAGTGTAGCTGATCATTTGAATAATGACAACACAGTTAACTGTTAATTTTTTGCAACTGTTTTTTTTTTAAACAAGAATGGAAAGAATAGTTGGATGCAATTTAGAGTTCAAATTGCATTATACCTGAGTTTGTTTCATGTCGTAATTAGATTTAGTGCTATACTCTGAGGATCTTCAACATTCTCCTGTTGGGCTTTCATCCACATACATATATTAATGTGTCTGAAACAGATGTTGTGTCCAAATTTGAAATGATTTTTTGAAGTTCAAGCTTCTTTTGAGGATCACATTAGTAAAGTGAAGAATTTCTTTTCATTTTGTGTTGAAACTTTGAAAGTTAATTATCTGCGTGCTTGATAGAAAATTAAGATCACTTTTATCTAACACAGAATATGCCATATGGTGGTATGATGTAGAAGTATTTTTGTGATATGCCCAGTCACTTTTGTTCACATTAAAATCAAGAAATACTTTTGCACTGTATGCAATCTGTTCACTTTTTAAAAGGAAAGCCTCAAAACATCTGAGGTGTACAACTAAATTGGTAATCAAAGACTGTGTAAGAAACGTCTTGATGATGTTAAAGGATCAGCTACTAGCAAACAGACAAATAAAGTCGACCAAATGGCTTCCTAATGGTTACTGCCATATGTTATTAAAGCATTTCTCAGTTTTGTCAGTACCACATAAATTAATGCACATAATTCACACAGACATGACTTAATGCAATTGGCTCCCCTGGGTTAAAACAAACAGCTACTTTTTGATGGGAATAGGTAAGATATAAAAATCAAAAGTGAACTATTTTAACTTTTATGTCATGCCCCATGATTACTGAGTTATAGTACAGAGTTCCAGTGATATATTAGATCTTTTTATGATTGTCACTATACGTTGCCCTAGTCCTTTCTGAATTTATAGAACTGAGACAGAACACATAGTATAAGATAAAAAAAACAAAAATATAATACTATAAATGAAAAAAAAATTGTACAGATTGAATAGCATAGACAGTTTTATTGTAGTGCTGCTAAGCTTCTGATATGGGTTCTGAGGAAAAAGACTTAATGTAGGATTATGCTTATGCTCTTCAGAATGTACAGTACTTTCTTTAGAACAGTGTGTGCCCTTTATTTTGCAGAACAAGAAAGTATACTACAGATAAAGACGAGGCAAAAACTCCAAGCACACCAACAGTATCCCCCTTTAATACCCACAGTGCTAATTAAATGAGTCCAGGAAACACCCTCTGCAAATACCCCCCCCCATAGACTAAGACGGTTTTATAACTAGTTGGTCACATAGTTTTAAAAAATATATTGTGTATCTGGAATCAATCCAGAAAAGAGTGAACAGATATATTTTGCAGCTTAAAGGAATCATCTACACTGACAAGGTGAAAGAATTATACTTTTTAAATCTTGAACGAGATTACAAGGGTAACTGACCCTTTGATTGAAAATTTTCAAAGGAAAGTACAGTATGAACAGTGAAACATAACACCAGATTAAGTGGAAACTAGGCTTTCGAAACCAAAAAGAGACACTTCTTCATACAATGGTGGTGGGAGCAAGGAACAAGGAAGCCAATACTTTTGATTTTTTCAAGAAATGTCTGGATGATATCCTTGGTGTTACGGGAGCCGGTCCAGGCTCCCGCGAAGCGTAGTTTAGGACCCTATGCAGACGGTATAATCCGGAAATAAGTTGAGAAGGACATCCGGGGAAGGTACAGTAGGTTTGTACATGTAGACAGACAAGGAGGGTGTGACGATGGTGATCCGGTGCTTGGGGGGGCATGGAAACGGCAAACAGGTCCAGAGAGTCCAAAAGGGGGAATCTGGGGCGCAGTCCGAAGTCCAAAACCGGGGGATCCATCCAAGATGAGACAAACACAGTTAAAATCCGGAACGGGATCCGGAACAGGGACAGGGAATAAAACCAAGATAACGATGCCAGGCGCTCCGAGCCCCAGACTCAGATGGTCAGGATGCCATAATGAAGCCTATGCTGTCGGGCCTCTCTTGGACCCACTGGTAGGCGGGCTTCCGGGCATCCATCTCCCAATGCTGATCCAGGAATAGCGAGAGCGCCAGGCTTAAATAGTGAAACAAAACAGAAGGCAGGTGCACATAATCAACGAAAATATGAAAGAGTCGGAGCGCCCTTAGGAGGAATGCCAATCGTGACGCTTGGATCAATTACCTACTAGCAATGAAATAGCCTACATGGGCTGAAGGGCCTCCTACCATTTGTAACTGTTCTTATACTGTATGCAAAAGTAGTACGGGGGGCCTCATATTCTGGACTGAATCAGCATGTCATCTTTCAAAAAGCAGGATCAAGTAAAGCTTATTTCTGTTAGTAGGTGCTCTAATTCCCCTAGGTAAAGCTGCTCCAACCCCCTGTGACACAGCATCAGCACTTGTTCTTGTGGTGTGTAAAGTATCTGCAGATCACCTTTACAATAAAAAGCCAAACAAAAACATGAGATAATTTTTATTATGTGCACTATCTATAGTGGATAGACTCCTAAAGTTGACTAAATTTCCAGCTTGCTCTGATGCTTGTACACATGAGAACACATCTACCAAAACATGCATTATTGAGTTGCCTACCTCTTTTTACAATGCTAGGCCCATTTTGCTTCAAGTTAAGTTAAGAATCCTTAAGACTTGCCAGATATGTGAGAGCTACCAATCCCCCAGTCAATACTGTCTAACAAGATAAAAACAGCAGAGTGCACTGTCTGAAGCACACCCCTTATTTTACAGAACAAGTAAGGAGTTTATTCTCAATATATATCTTTTTGTGTCAGGAAAGCATTCTAGGTATGAAAAATAACTATTTTCATACTTTAGAACTATCTGTTTATGTCCTTTTAATTTGGAAGATCTCCAAAGAAAGAATGATGTATCTCTCATTAATCATCATCACATCACTTTATTAATTCTTTACAATTTCTGGCATTAGGAATTATCTTTTTGCATACCCCAGCCTGCTCTCCGTGAGACACACAGACAGGGAGAGAGCCTGGGGCCAGAGTGCAGGGTCTGCCATTGTACAGTGCCCCTGGAGCAGTTAGGGTTAAGGGCCTTGCTCAAGAGCCCAATAGAGTAGGATTCTTCTGCCAGCTCTGAGATTTGAACCAGTAACCTTCCAGCCACAGGTGCAGATCCTTAGCCACAGAGCCACCGCAACGCCCCAAATGACACTGTAATTACACTGTAAGCTCATGGGTGCCCAGCCAGCCAGGAGTAATGTGGTTGATTCAAGCTGAAACAAACCTGGCAGTGCTCTGCCTCTTGTACACCACTGCTTTGTGGATACTAGTCACACTCATCCAATGGCATCATTCATCGATGTCTAGACATCAACTACTTTAACTAGTACATGTATTAGCTGAGTCACCTGAGAGACACAGAGATTCATCCTTGAAAATACAGGAACCCTGAGGTACCAGGTACAGTACATGTCTTGTTGCATTACTTAATATTTTTCTGTAAGTCTTACTGTATTACACCTTGTCAACTTTCTTCACAAGCCTGTGTACTAACTAACTGGGTTAATTGACCAATCCCGGTATTCTGGTTACTACAGTACTTGCTTTTTAATCTCAAAGCTTTATCAAGATGTTACTTAAATTGTATCTGCACCGACAGCCTTGTATAGTGTTGTGTTTATTGTAGCAATAATATTATCTACATTATTGTTAAATCCTGTACAGTATAATATCTCTACCTCTTTTTATATTTATCACCATTGTTTCCTCCTGAACAGTTTTGTACCTATTTATAATTGTACCTCTATGTCCTGTTCCTCTTGCTTGGCAGTTAACAGTAAGAACAACTGATAGAACCTTGAAAAGCTTGAATTGATACACTTGTGATAGTGCTCACTTGTAAACTGCATAATTTCATTGTTATACTTGCAATTTAATGTGGTGTACCCAGGGAAATTATTTTTTGGGTTCCAAAATGACTCATTCGACTGCCTTGTCAAAAATTGTGAAATGTATTGAGCGTTCAGATATATATTTTTTTATTTTCACCACAGTTTTTCCAAAAGTAAATCAACACTTGGAAAAGATGGTGTGAACGAAATACCCTTTAAAACCTATTCCAAGATTCAATCTATCCTCCTAAATCATATTATTTTATGGAGATTACTGCAGTGTTTCTGGGGACTAAGGGTGCAGAATGTGTTACTTTATCTACTTTTCATTACATGGCAATGCAAGCCTATCGATATTCCCTTTAGATAGTGATTTACAAACTGTAACTATTTATAGCTGTAGAACAGCTATCCTTCCTTCTCATTATTAAACATGGGCAGAGTGTGTCCCATCAGATTATTTGAAGGCAATTTCAAAAATGAATTTTGGGTCTAGGTTAAACACTTTTGGAGAGGGCATGTCATGATCATCATCTTCAGGGACGAGGCTGTTAATATAAATCTTCAATTTGTTATATCTGCAAAAGACAGGCAATTTCAAAGTATCCTTCTATTACTTTGTGAGTAAAGAAGGTTTTTGCAAAATGTAATACGCAATCTGGCTTTTCTTTATAAGAAACTCTAGATTATTCCATACAGTTCCCACAGTTTAACTTTATTTGGCACCAGTTCCATTGTAGTACATCCCAGTAAAAGAGATTTAATTTTGCTCTTAAATTTTCGCTCATACTCATGAAAGATTGCCTTCAAGAGAGTCAAAACTGAATACTGTACTTAAATGTTAACATGATGTTTTCTCTTGCCTTTCAGGTATAATTCTCACCACAACGTTGTTTGGTCCGCTTCTAGGATTCCTAATGGGTGCTATGTTTACCAAGGTTTATGTTGATGCAATATTCATTGATACCGGTTCGTATGACACATTTTGATTCTCACATCTCTACATTTTTGGTTGTCTCTCTGTTTCTGTACATGCCATCATGAGAAAAATGTATATATTGACTACACTAAGCGAATGATTACTTTTATCATGTTTGATTAATTTCCATATTTGACTCAAATAATATTAATATTAGTTTAGAGGCAGCAGCCATATCACTCTGCTACTCACAACTGGTAACCCACTGAAGCTAAGCAGGTGTAAGCCTGGTCAGTACCTGGATGGGAGACCTCCTGGAAAAAACTAAGGTTGCTGCTGGAAGAGGTGTTAGTGGGGCCAGCAGGGGGCGCTCACCCTGTGGTCTGTGTGTGTCCTAATGCCCCAGTATAGTGATGGGGACACTGTACTGTAAAAAGGAGCTGTCCTTCAGATGAGACGTAAAACTGAGGTCCTGACTCCCTGTGGTCATTTAAAAATCTCGAAAAGAGTAGGGGTGTAACCCTGGTGTCCTGGCCAAATTTCCCATTGGCCCTTACCAATCATGGGCTCCTAATAATCCCCATCTATGAACTGGCTTCATTAGTCTGTTCTCCTTCCCACTGAGAGCTGGTGTGTGGGGAGTATACTGGTGCACTATGGCTCCTGTTGTGTCATCCAGGTGGGGCTGCACATTGGTGTTGGTGGAGGGGAGTCACCATTATCTGTAAAGCTCTTTGAGTGGAGTGTCCAGAAAGTGCTATATAGGTGTAAGCAATTATTAATTATTATTATTAATTTCATGGAATGAAAATGTCTTGTGGTTCTCCACCCCTCACATTCATATGTGTACTGACCTTTGATTTATAATGAATAGTGACTTTTGTATGAAAAGGTCTCTTATTTAAAGGGTTTAAAAGGTTATTTAAAGGACGCTGCCATTCCTGTTTTGTGTCACGCCCTGTACACCTAGAGGGTCCTGTTCCTAGATCCTTGTGATTATTCATGTCTTTCCAGTGTGTCCTGTTGTGTACCCTATTTACTTCCTGTGTCTGCTCTGCTCCTGGCTCAGCATTGAGGGTTCGGATGTCTTGAGACCCGCCTAGCACCAGGTCGCCTCTTCTGTGTCCTGAGGGCATATGTTTCTACCCCGACATCGTCTGACCCCCTGAGCCTGGGCTAACCTCCGTGTTGCCCCTTTTGCCACTACGCATAGGGTCTCTACTGCTCTCCTTTTCATTCCATTGACATTTTGTTCATTCTTATGAACATATGGTACAGCAGCACAGAGGTCAGATGTTTGTTCAGCCAAACGGAGAACCAAAGTTACTGTATTGTGCTTTATTAAATAAAGTGTCTTGATCAATAACTATATTGAGAACACCCCCATGCACATTATATTCAAGTAATTAAAGAAAACAGTTTTCATATACTGTATATTCACATCTGTTTTTATATGTTACTTGATCTAGGCAGAAATAAACTGGTTGGTACAGTAAGTTGGTTGACTTGCTGTTGATGGAGTTAAAGTGTTAATCCTTTCCATTTGAATGAAAAACAGGGAAATACTGCATCTTAGACAGTGTATTATATTATGGAAAATAATATTCAGGTAAAGGCTTATTGGGAGTTTATCTCTTGATGAGGGTGTGGGGGCTGTACGTGTAAGAATTTGTCTCATTTTAATTCTATCCCTATTCTTGTAGAGAAGCTCGACATCACGACGGATGATCCCCGATGGATAGGTGCCTGGTGGGCTGGCTTCCTGGTCTGTGCTGCCCTGCTGTTCTTCTCTTCCTTGCTGATGTTCGGCTTCCCCCGAGCCATGCCCCTGAAGCACTACCCAGAGACAAGGCTCTCCAAGCTTTTGCTTCCTAGCATGGGGCCCCAGCAACCAGGAAACCCTGTGTCTGAACAAAACAGGCCGAAGGAGAACAGAGAAAGTCAAGCCTGCTGTCACCATTCCATCGGTACAATATTTGTCTTATACTAAACCAAATTACTGAATATATTCAAATGAATAGCCTTATACAGTTAAGCAATAGAGCTATCTTTATTAAAATTCTCCAATACCTTTGTTTACCATGCTTCCTTTTGATCTACAGTCTGATCAGTCTGATCTATAGAACACTCGCATACCTCTGGATTTTACATGGTAGGACTGTATTGCTATCGTACGCAGTTGCATCCACCAGGTGGGGATAAAGGTGTGGACTAGGAAATGTAACCTACAGTAGATACTGTCATCCAGCTAGTCTTCATCTTCATCAGTCATTTGTATACATGGCTCTCGTTATTCAAGGAAATTGTCCATCTATATGGAATCTAGACACTGGTACCTTTTACTGCATATTACCTGGAGGGTATTAATATAAAATATAATTATATTTAAAATATTATGTTATTGGAATAACTTCACTGTAAATGATAATAATGACTACTCTTATTATTACAGTGAATGTAACATAGTGAATGCGAATGTAATTATCTTAGTTAATGTATAATAATTATATTGTAATATATATGAGTGCCTAATTATATATAGTCATTTATAATTTATCTACAATAATAATGTTAATTTTAATTAAATAAAATAATGTCACCCATCCATTTTCTAACGTGTTCCTCCTGTTCTGGATGTGGGGGAAGCCAGGGCCAATCTTCGCTAGCAATAGCTACAAGGCAGGGCACACCCTGGATGGGATGCCAGTCCATCGCAGGGCACACACAGACACTCAAAACAAATACACACACACTCGCACCTGGGCCGATTTTCCCTGAAACAAATTCACCTACCAGTATTTATTTTTTAACTTTAAGAGGAAACTGGAGCATCTGGAGGAAACCCGCGCAAACACAGGAAGAACATACAAACTAAACACAGATAGCACCCCAGGTCAGGAAATGAACACAGGGCCCCAGTGCTGTGAGGCAACAATGCTTACTACTGCACCGCTGTGCCACATAAGCATAAATAATTAATAATATAATAATAGTATTGTCTCAAAAATGTTCAGCTGTTACCTTTTTTCATCTTAGGAATTTTGGGGGATTGTCAGTGGATACATATCCCATTGGTCTTTTGATGGAGAGATGTATGAAATTCAGATGTATACTGTACATTAACTCTACTGTATATTGTACTGTAAATTTAGTTTTTTTTTATTTTGAAAAAAACAAATTGTTCAAGCAATGTAAAATGATAAAATTATCAGTTTAAGGAACAAGTAATAGGTTTATTCCATGCTGAAAAAAAGAAGAAAGAAAACACAGCGTTTCGGCCGTGGAGCGTTGTGTTCTCTTTCTTCTTTTTTTCAGCATGGAATAAACCTATTACTTGTTCCTTTGTAGCCTACACATGCTGACGCAGCTACCCACCTGAACTACTATCATCAGTTTAATATACTGCAAAGGTGTACTGTAGGTCCTCCAAGGTTACATTACATTTTGTTTTAGTCCAGTGTAGCATTATATGAATCTGGAAAGCTTCTAAGGGTCCAAAGATACTTGTAAATGATTGTGATTAGAAGGTGAATTCAACAACTAAATATGTAGAGATGAAGTAGCCAACATGAATCTTCTATGTGGGAGTAAAATTATCCTAGTTGAAAACATTCCTTCTTTTGCAATGCACACAATTTACCTTTCAGATGTTAGAATATGGAGTAGAATTTTACAGTTACTTCACAGTGATAACACGTGGGTCCTAGTCTTAGGTAATGTTAAATATCTTGGTAAATTGCAGCTTTTCTGTATGTACATTTATGTACTACATAGAAAATTTTAAGTTTGTACCATGATGCCACCTTCTGGTATAACATTAGCACTTACAGTGTACTTCACAGAATGTGAGCAATACTGTACAGTATGTTTGTATTTGGTAAGACTTAATTAATCTCTGTAAGCAGAAAAACAAAATACTTCCTTAATATTTAAATATGAGATTAATATTTATGTTAACAATGTTCAAAATCAATTTGTTTTCATAACTTGTTAGTTTTACTTTTAAAATACATGCTTGGATTTCTAAAAAAGGTACAATCAAGTGTTTAAGCACACACAGAAGTAAGGATTTATTTTGATAAGTGCATTGTAGCATTGTCATGATTCTAAGAACTAAGCTACACATCATTTCAATGAAATATACCTAGGTCATATTTCAACCGTTTTGACATTTTTCATGTACATGATGTCTTTTTCAGAAGATGAAAGCCAGTTTTAACATCTCAATATTGATTTTTTCTTTGTATATTATAAACTATATATATACAAATATAAATGTGCATATTTGTGTATTGTATACAATATGTATATTATATTAGTAAGTAAACTAGTATACATCCAGGGAACCTTAGTTAAAACTTAGTTCCACTTCTGATTATTTCCTCACGTTTAATGTGTTTCTCATTTTAGTTTCCCTTTTATCTTTTGGGACAAATGAATGAAAAAATCTCACCAAATACAATAAAATACAATAAAACATTTCCTCTGTTGTAAGTCATTGTCCAGCAAGACTATTGTTAAGTGAATGTGAATAGATAATAGATACTGTTAAGAATAACACACAAAAAGGAAGATATTTTTTTTCAAGAACTTTACAAACACTGTACACTCCCAAAAGATATAAAAAGGTGACCACTTTAAATTTGTGAATCATCGTCTAATTTTTGTGTGCAAAAATACCTTTAAGTATTTGAGTTTGTGATTATCAATTGAGGCAAGAATGGCAGCAATAAATAAGCAAATGTCATATTAATTATAGAGTATATTAAGATTAAATTATTGAAAAACAAGTATAATTGATATGTTTGTCATAAAACAGTTCATTAGCATTAATTTTTATGTCCATATAATCTATTTTATATTAAAATTAGCTGTAACATATTTTCCAGTGCTGTGATATTTATCCCCTGTTGAATTCAGCTTAACTGCATTTGATTTAGATGTTTTACTTACAGTAACTCCTTCAAAACTAGGAGTACATAAGGCTCATGAATAAATGTTCAGAACCAACTGCTAATGCTGAAAATTGCTTTCCTAATGGTAATCAGTTGTCCTAGGCTTTAATTTATTTGCGTTTAAACATACATTACTGTAGTCCTGTCTTTGCTCAAACATAAAGCATAAATCTGACTTATTGATAAACACCACTGTGTATTCCGGCAATTGACTGTGTGTAATGTACAGTAGCAGCATTGCAATGGGAATTGCTCCAGGCAAGCACTAGTTGAAAGAATGTTGATGCCCTTTCATGCTTCTTTATTTTCTGTGAGCATTCAATTTCTATATTTCCAAAGACTATATGGGTATGGCAATTCATAAATTTAAAACAATTTCAGTTCTTCACCAGCCCAGCAACTGAAATGGCGGTAAACAAATCTAAATTTACCAACTTAAAATGGTTCTACAAAACTTATGGCTGTTATTGAAATTGTAAATGATCCCAGACACAAATTATAGAAAGAAGTACTAATAACGCACACCTAATGGAAATGTTATATTGCTTTGTGACATCCCTTTCTTCTTCTCCTCAGCCATATTGAATGTAACTAAGCAGCTGTTCAAGAACCCAGTATTCACATGTATTGTACTGGCTGCCTGTATGGGACTTGCCGCCATTGGAGGGATGTCAGCATTTCTGGGAAAATATCTGGAGTCTCAGTTTGGATTAAATGCCTCTTATGCTAATCAACTCATAGGTATGCTAAAAACTTTCTTTTTGATCTGTGATGTGTGCAGTCGGCTTGTTTATTATTTCACTGTGCATTCCCCTTGACAGATACAGTGCATACTGTATCTCATTGTGTGAGGTAAATAAGTGAGGTGTCACCAGGGAGTTGAATTCGCACTGTACAATCTTGCATGCTTTCAGGTTCATCCACCGAACTGTGTTTTCTGCATGCTGTTATGTAAAGAGGAACACTTTTCTGCATTAAGTATTTTTATTTTTGTTTTATTCTATTAAACTCAATGTTGACACACTCCTGTAGTTCAATGTCAGCTAATGTATATACTGTACTTTATTGATGAACAAATCTCAAAATGTCATTACGATAGATAGCAGATAGATTATCGCTTTGCAAAGTGAAAGCATCAATAAAAATGTGATACTGTATATTTCCATCTACACGTCGATCATTATCCTTGTTATGCAATGAATTTTTTTCAGTATGATGAAAGGCATATACTTTTTGTCTTTAGCTCTAGAGGTCAGTGGAAATATCCATGTATCTCCATATGTATTATATTTTACAAAACAGCATTTGAGGATAAATTTATACATTTCAGATATGACCTCAGGAAAAGCTGGTTTTAAATATGTCTGCGCTGGTAATTGATTTGCAAATTGATTTGATAAAATCTAATCTAATTAAGATGGCACATGGTCCTGATATTTTTAAAAGGTTTTGTTTTATTGATGTATAACTTGTGGAACATTGAGAACATTTTCTGACAATTCTTTAGGAAATTTAATATTTAAAAATGATACAAAGTTTTTTTGATGATCCCATTAGTTTCATTTCATTGAAATTCTTCAGTACTGTAGTTATAAAGTTTACCAGTTAACAAAAATGAATAAACATAAATGAGAATCACAAATGTAACAAAGTAACATGATCACTATGATTCACTTAAAACATTTTAATTAAAAACATTAATTCTGATACAGTACAGTAGTAAAGCATACATGATGTCTAATTTAGTGAATACTGTACCATCTTAGTTCTCTTTTTTCTCTACATAATTATTTGTAGTTTTCAGAATATTAAAATATACTGTAATGAGAATGACTTGTCAGTGATATCCCAGCAAAATGTCCTCAATGGTATTTCCTTTAGGGATGAATGTTTAATTTACATAAATTAATAATGTTATTCTGATTCTTGTTTTCTTAATAATGTCCAGCTGTTCTCATAGTTATGACTGAATTTGTGTGAAATCTCCCTTTTAAAGCTTTTATATCATCATAAAAATAAAGTAAAGCATGGTGACATCATGGGTAAGGAACAGGCTAATAGGAATGAGACAGTGAGACAATAAAACATGGTAAAACAATGGGATCAATTGCTAATAAAGACATGATCTATGCTTGTTAAAACCACAGAAAAAGTGCTGGAGGGCTCCTGTTGAAAATATGCTGTAAAGAGAACAGATTTGTTAGAGGCATGAGAGACTCATTTGTTATATTTATCCCTTTCTGTAAAGGAATTGCAGCCATTCCCTGTGTGTGCCTAGGGATGCTCCTTGGTGGATACTTGGTGAAAAAGTATAACCTTACCCCTGTGGGGATTGTTAAGCTTGGAATGACTGCCAACATACTGTGCTCTGCTGCATTTGTGTTCTTGCTCTTTCTTGGGTGTGAAACTGGACCAGTGGCAGGAGTAACTGCTGACTACAGCAATGGGTAAATAACACAGTGTTTAATGCATGTAATGTATGTTGCTTAGGAAAAGCCAGGCCCAGGTCCTCTTTCCCTTATTACTTTTAAATTTTTTTGTGCCCTGTGTGTCACATTGACTCTTAAGGCTTATTCTTTTCAGTCCTTCAATTAAAAAAAAATGTGTGAGAGTGGAAGGTGCACAGAACTGTTACAGAAAAAAATTGAAACAATGAATAACACAGGTCAGATTCACTATTTTTTGCACAATTCTGGTTAGGACTTCTGCCATCTTGTAACCTGATTTCACTTGTTCCGAGAAACTAAGCAAGGCTGGTACAGTATTTCTACATACTGGAACGAGAGACTTCTAAGGAAAACTTGGTTGATGCTGGTAACAGATTTCATTGACCAGTAGATGGCACTCTTACCTCTGCACCAGAATTTCCAGATTGATGCCCAAATAAGGTGTCACTGTAGAACATGCCATACTTCAAAGGGGAGAATAAACTGAGGTCCTGAGTAAAGTAGAGTAGAGTCTATCATATGTACACGTACATTGGAATTCCTAATCACATTGATCTCTCGGTACATACACATACACACAATGTAGACAACAGGAACAGTAAATATGCTGTGGAACAATAAATATGTAGTAGTGAAACAAAAAAGTGCATAGTGCAGATATATACTGTATTTTAGGCACTGCAGTGCAGTATGAGGATGGTTACTGCAGTGGGACAGAAGCTGCTCTTGAGTCAGTGGTCCTTGCTTTAATAGTGTGGTATCGCTCACCAGAGCGCAGGGGGGAGAACAGTTTGTGGCTGGGACTGTTGGGATCCTGAATGTTGAATTGGGCTTTATTGCAACAGCGGATGGTGTGGATCTCACCATTGATGGTAAATCACATCCTGTAATCCACTGTGCCGCTGCCACAAACCTTTTGTAGTGCATCAATGTCATGCATTGTACTTTTGCTGTACCACACTAGTGAGGACGCTTTCTGTGGTGCTGCAGTAAAAGTTCATGAGGAATTGCTTTCTCATACAGCATTTCTTTAAGCATTGCAGAAAGTGCAAGTGCTGTTGTGCCCTTTTCAGACTGGTTACAGTGGTGTGAGACCAAGACAAGTCAGTGGAGATCTGCAGGCCGAGGATCCTGAAGCAGCTGACAGTTTCCACTGCTGTGCCATCAAAGCTGATTGGGGCGCGGCTCCATCTGGTTTCTCCTGAAGTCCACAATGAGTTCTTTTGTCATTTTGACATTCAGGGCCAGATTTTTGTCAAGGCACCATCTTGCTCCACCTCATCCTGTATGTTGACTCATCGTTGTTGATCAGCCCAATAATAGTGGTGTCATCTGCAAACTTAATGATGTGGTTGTTGCTGTAAGTGGCTGTACAGTTGTAGGTGAACAAGAGTACAACCTAGGACTGAGACAGCAGCCTTGGGGAGCTTCAGTGTTTAGGATCGCTATAGAGGAGTTATTGTTGCCTGAGGTCTGCCCATCAGGAAATCCAATATCCAGTTGCAGAAAGAGTAACTTAAGCCCAGATTCCTGAGTTTTGGAACCAGGATAGCGGGAATAATTGTGTTGAAGGCCGAGCTGTAATTTATAAACAGTATCCTAACATAGGTGCCCGGCCTGTCTACATGTTCTAGGGCAGTATGTAGTGCTAGAGATAGGGCATCATCAACTAACCTATTCGGGCGGGAAGCAAGCTGAAGTGGGTCAAGGGAGTCTGGGATAGAGCAATTTACTGTATATATGACAAGTTATATATTAATGTGGCACATTTGTGGTTTTCTTAAAGCACTCTGGTACAACTGACTGGGACAGAGATAGGTAACAAATATCTGTATACACAGGAGATACTGTAACTGGTCTGCATTAGGTTTTAAGGACCATCTGGGCCTGCTGCTTTAGAGGTTTTCACTCTCTTAAAGGCTCTACACACCTCATGCTTAGAGAGCTGAATCACAAAGTCCCCTGATTCACTGGGAGCCCTGATAGCCTCAAAATGGGAGCAAAAGGTATTCAGCTTATCTGGTAGAGATGCTTCAGTGAAGGAAATACAGCTGGTGTTGCCTTTTTAGTTCATGACAGCCTGAAAGGCTTGCCACATGCGCCTTGAGTCGCTTCCAAGCTGTTTTTCTTATTTGTCCTAGTATTACTGTTTTGCCAGTTTAATAGCTTTCTCCCAGGTCGTACCTTGATTTTTTGTACAGTTCTCTGTCGCCTGATTGGAAGGCAGCAGACCCCATTTTGAGTTTGCAGCAAAAATGTCTTTGTTCATCCAGGGCTTCTGACTGGGATATATCCGGATCTTCCTGGTAGGAACACATCTATCCACACAGTAGTTGACGTAGGATGTGACCACCTTTGTATACTCATTTAGATCAATGGAAAAATCTTTGAATACACACTAATCAGGCATTTCAAAACTCTGCGAGTTCTTTTCTCAGCAGCCTCTGACAGGTGGCGAGTTCTTTAGCTTCTGTTCATAAACAGGAAGAAGGAACACGGCGGCGTGGTCAAACTTCCCAAAATACGGCAGTGAAATGGGGAGGTATGCTCCTTTAATGGTGGTGTAATAGTGAACCACTGTGTTATTGCCTCTAGACTAGACTACATGATTATTAAAGATCCTCAATGGCTCTACTTGTAAAAATAAGGTGATAACTTTGGCAATATTGTTAAATTCCACTCTGGATTTGCTCATCCTGGCCTACATCAGTTTATCATTTATTATTTGCCTGGCTGACGTCTTTAATTCAGTGATGAAGTAATGTCTTGTTTCTCCTTCTGATCAATTGTATAGTAGTGCTGCTGGAGCAGGTTCATTGCCATGAACTGCCCAGCTGGGTGTTTCAGTTCAGTGGTGGATTAAGTGCTTAAACACTTAAGCACAAAACACTTGCTTAAATTCATGATTGTATTGTACTACTTGGGAAAGATATTTTGTACTATATATGAAAATTATGAAAATCTACAGTATAGTACATGATTTTACAAAAAATGTTTCATAAAAATATGTTTTTATTTTACTACAAAATGGCAAAATAAACCCCTTGTATTTTCACATCTTTCATTTTATGGATTCCTACTGGGAAAAACAGAAGTAACAGCAACTGCAAAGTGAAGGCTGCTAACTGAATGTTGCTTGTATTATTTTTAACATTTTTATCAGACATCAAATGTGAATATTTTACACAGTTTCGTAAGACAAGAAGAAAACACTTTTAATGAGACATGAGAAGCCTGTTATCTCCGCTTTGTGTTCAGTTTGTTTGAATTGTCTCTCAGGCAGAGGTGGGGGCATCATTGTTATTTACAATCTTCTTTTCAATTTAAGTCTCATTACTGTACCTCTTCCCTCTTCTTTTGAGTGTCTTGTTTTAAATGTCTCTGTTCACCATTCTACTATCATTGCCACAGTTTATAGACCACCCGAACCCAACAAAACCTTTTTAGGTGAGTATGTTGATTTACTTTTAATTTTATGCCCCAGATTTAAGAGGATCATTATTCTTGGGGACTTTGATATACACATTGACTCAAGGTCTTCCAGTTTGGCTAAGGATTTTCTAGCTCTGTTGGGATGTTTTAATCTAACTCAGTTTTTTGCGTAACCCTACACATAACAAAAGGCACGCTCTAGACTAAATCATTGCAAGTCACTCTTTTGTTTCCCACTTCTCTTCCATTGATCTAGGACTCTCTGACCACTTAGCTATTCTTTTCAATCTGGAATTACCTGTTTCTAACACTTCCCCCTCACGCTCTGTAAATTTCCACAACTGGCGATTGATCAGCCTAGGTTTGCAAATTCTGTTCTGTCCTCCTTATCTTGTTTCTCTTCCTCTGATATTCTATCTAGAGGATAAAATACTTTTGCTTAGTAGCGCTCTTTTATCTACCCTTGACACCTTTGCTTCTCTATAAACACGCACCATCTCTTTTTCTCACTCCGCCCCCTGGTACACTGACCACCTGCGATCCATGAAGGCATTCTCCCGGAAACCTGAGTGTAACATTATCAGGCTAAGAAAGATTACTTGTCTGAATATAAGGATATGAGTCTGCCAGATCCACCTTCTATCACGTCATTGAAAATAACCATAACAACCCCAGACATCTTTTCTCCACTATCAACAGACTGCTAAAGCCAAGCTGCCCCACCACATTACCTCCCTCATTGCAACTTTGCAACACATTTTTAGATTTCTTTAGCCCCACGATTGACAACATCTGGCATCACATTCTCTCCATAATGCATATCATTCCCCCTCCTCCCAGCTTCTCTTACTTTTCTGGTTCCCTTCTCTCCAACTTCTCTCTTCTTGACTCTGCATCCCTCAGTAAACTAGTTTCACACATGAAATTCACCATCTCTATATTACTGTAGATCCTGTTCCCACCACTTTATTTCATTCCTATTTCACTTATCTCTGCCCCCTTGTCCTCAATGTAATAAATGAATCCTTGAGCACTGGTGTTGTACCAACGGTCCTCAAAACTGTTGCCATTACCCCCATGCCAAAAACGCCTAACATGGCTCTGGACAAGCTAAACAATTTCTGCCCTATCTCTAACCTACCCTTTCTTGCAAAAATTCTAGAACTTGCTATCACACTTCAATTACATGACCAACTCATTGTAAATAACCTTTTCGAGCTCATCCAATCTTGCTTCCATCAACTTCACAGCACAGAAACTGCCCTGGTCAAAGTCACTAATGATCTTCTAATAACTTCTGATTCTGGTTCTCTCTCTATTTTCACTCTGTCACTTTGTCTCTCTTGCTGGATTTCGGTCTGCAATTGGTCTTGTTAAGTCTGGTGTTTCTCAGGGCTCAATACTTGGTCCCCTACTTTTCAGCATTTACATGGTTCCACTTGGTCAGCTTTTAAGATCACAAGGCCTCAGTTATCATTCTATGCTGATGATACTAAAATATACATCCATACCAAACCTGACACTGACGTGGCTGTCCCAATTCTATTTTATTGCATCTTTGACATAAA